TTTGTAAATGTTCTAAGTAAATGGTCATTTATAAAATGTGCTCGAGTTTTAAGAAGTTATAGCGGAACATGTTCACTTATTGTGTTTATTTTCTTTCACAGGGCCCACCACAACCTGGACAACCCATTAAGTTTACAGTGGGAGAGTCGTGTGACAGAATTAAAGAAGAATTCAATTTCTTACAAGCCCAATATCACAAGTGAGTATCACATTACGCCTTATGAATGCCATGTACGAACACCGAAGCACTACACTGTAATTAAATTACAATTTCCATTACAATAAACTACAAAAACCTGTTGGCTATATTCATTCATATCACCGATGTCAAAAAGAATAAATGTAAAGCGCCAAGCAAATCGATGCTTAGGGTTGTCAAGGATTTAGTACAGGAGAAATAAAACAAGTAAAGTGGGATCATCCGGGATCCCCTGTCACCGAGAATCAAGGAGAATCAACCCTTACCTGCCTGCCCTTTGAGAATCACCCTTGCCAGGCTTTTTGCGACGTACCATTGTTGTAGAACAAAAAAACATTACAATGGGGTTTATTTACACGACTCGTTTAGGGTTTAGATAAAAAATACTCATAATAATTTTTAATCTATAAATAAAGTTGGAGTGTTGGAAAACAGGTCAACATTTTCCTTTTATGTTAAGTAGGAGCTTATAAAGGCAAAATGATTTCCGTCGCACAGTTATTAATAAATACTTAGGTACTGGAATTAAAAAATCAATAATCGCCAGATCAATGGTACAATGTAATAAAGTAGCTCTACTACTGCAAATTAACGTGAATAATTTATTGAGCCACGTGTATGTCAGTAAGTGGCTCTACTATAAATAATAAATGAGTTATCATTTTAATCGTGCAAAAGGGCGAACGATAAACGTATGAGAAATCCCTCTTTACTTGTAATGATATTAATTTTAACTTAAGTTGGTTTTAGTATGGTGGTAATATACTCATTTTTACTTGTCTTGTCTCATAAAATAATAGTAGATTTAATTGAATAACACATTCATTCATTCATACTTAGGTATAATAATAAAGTTTCTGACACATGATTATGCGAAACATTTTTGTAATAATTTTTAACTAGTCTGACACAAAATTGATTACGATTGCATCATTTAATAAAATTGTTTATACCTATTACAAATATACTTAATGAAATTAAATTATCGACTGTCAATGAATGATTCACTTTAAAGTAGGTTGATAGTCACTCCAAGAGAACAAGATATTTACATAACATAACATCACGCCTTTTATCTCCGAAAGGGGTAGGCAGAATAATTAGAGAAAAGTGGGTGTTAGTCATAATCATAATAATATAGTCGTGGAGAACCTACCGCTTTTTTTTTTAAGTGGGGAAAATCATCGAATGACTGCTCCCGCCTGGGTGAGGCGGAAGGGAGTGTCAGACTCTTACTGACTAAAAACCACCCCGTTTTTTCTCCTGCACTTCAACCCGGAGCCCCGGTAACCCGTTAGGTTGTTGCGGAGAACCTCTACCTGACACTCCCTCCCGCCTCGCCCAGGCGGAGGCAGTCATTCGATGATTTTCCCCCTTAAAAAAAAAGTTATAATCATATTTCAGATCTCAGTCTATCCCGGGGATTAAAAGACAACACTACGTAGGTACTAGTTAAAGGTATAGGTAAAGTAATGTAACTACAGACCATACCGATTACCTACTTTATTACTGAGTTATTATGTTATAAAAACCTTATCGAGCCAGGTTTTCAGTGATCGTTAGGTATGTAGGTAATAATCTAGAATTGAAATTGAACAGTGTAGTTAAGCGACTATAAAAACTATAACAATAACTAGTCTGACCTACTATGCATGCGATAAACAACTATAAAACATGCTGTTTGCTTATATTTTTCTTATCTTAATAATGTTACAGGCACTCCTTAAACTGTCAAACACCAAGCGGTCACCGGTGACCGCGACCTATTGTTCTTTAATTGTGTCTATAAAACCGGTACTCGACGAGTTAAATACAACTTTTTTAAGTGTTATACTCTGTAGTAAATATTCAAATGTTTACTCAAAAAAAGTCTTTAAATCTTCTCAGGTGGTAAGTGAGATGTGACGTTATGTTCTTTGCATTGACAAAACATTTGACATAACTTACAAAACATTAACTTTTACCCGCGACTTCGACCGAGTGGTAAAAGTAAGTTTCATCAAAATTTAGCTTCTTAACCATCTTTAGACCTTACACAAAAATCGCTCCGACAAACAAACGAACTTTCTAAAGGTATGAGTAAGGATGGACTGCAATAAACAACGCTTGTTTAACATTAAAGCGTTAGGTAACCGATATTAATATCTACGCCAACAACTAGTTGGAAAACTACGAACTTTGTTAGTAAGTCCGGATCATTAACTGTCATAATAACGTCGTGATCAAATACCCAGATCAAACGGATACCTAGTCTTGTCCGAATCCATGCAACACGTAAGACGTCAGCATCATAAACATCCCGCCATAAAAATACGTTACAAATATATTTTCTTTTGTTTCAGTTTAAAATTAGAATGCGAGAAACTGGCTAGTGAAAAAATTGAAATACAAAGGCATTATGTTATGGTGAGTAAAATTAAGTTTTCTTTCTTATATGTAATTACATTAATTACTCTATGGTCATGTTCGAAATATAAATTGTCAATAGAAGCATGACAATGTTTCATACTGATAAACAAGCTAGTAAAGTCACATTTACGTGTTTCTCAGAACTAAATAACCACATAGAAAAACTAAATAAAATTGTGGTAACACATAATGTTTTATTAGACCATTACAAGAGATCGGGGTTAATGATAACAGTGATGGTACAAACATAATTACCGCCACACCCGTACAATAAAACCGAACGCAACAGGCTTTAAAACTCATGTCATATTAAAACTACATAGTTTAATTTAAAGGGACAGCTAATTTAACAGCTAAATAGAGATGTTTATCACATGTAACATTTGTTATGGCGTGTGAAATCAATAAATGTGTTCCTTTGTTCACCGCCCGCATGTCACATGTTTTCTATTTGATTGGCTCTAACTCCAGTGCACCCTCCGATTTAGATAATTGTCCCTTTGAAAAGAATTATTTGACACATTACTCGAGAGTTATTAGTACATAATAATATGGCACATTGTAGTGTGTGTGATGTCATTTGTCATTTGTTATGTATGTATTAACATCAGTAACATGTAATAAAATATGTTTAGATAAGATATTGTAACATCGTCGAGTATCAATCACCGCGCCAACCGAGCTGTCAGGAGCGTGCGTAGGCAAACGTATTAGTGGCCAGTTCAAGAGCAGACAATATATTTCAAACGAACAGATATATTTTGGCATGCCTTAATCCCCGCATGTTCGCTCCATCCAGATATGAATCACGATTAAGTGTTGCCAAATCGCTCGCAATTTATTTTAATACGCTCGAGAGGAAATTTTCGCGAGAATTTTTATGTGTCGGAAACACTTCTGGCTGACGTCCAAACTGTGCCAGTGCGGATGTTTAGTCACTCGACTCCTATAATTTGAGGAAGCTAATCTGTGCCAAAACTGTACCGTGTCACTGTTCGGCCGTTACATTTACTCGCATAAATTGTAATCGATTAAACTAAAGCGTGTTATTTATGTTTCAGTACTATGAAATGTCGTATGGCCTCAATGTGGAAATGCATAAACAGGTATGTTCTATCATTATTACTATCTTTAATATGTTTTATGTTTAATAACTTTGTGTATTTTGTGAATAAAAAATTGTGTTTCCACCTTCTGATAGCAGATGTTAAACATGGTTTCAAATAAGCTAAAATAAAGATGAAGGGGAAAATATGGCTATATTTTAACAACAGCGGTCGGGCGAAATGGCGCACGGGGAAATGTTGTAAAAGCAAAAAAAACGTGTTATTGCGCTGCGCCTGTTTGTTGGATAAACGTTGTTTGACAGCGAGCCCGCGGGCGCCCCCCCCCCCACCCCCGCCGGGAGGGGGTGGCGGAATACTGCCTGGTCAAGCCACTTTGTTGACATTTCGGTTTTTAATTTGCACTCACTTTGGTATTTTAATTGCGCTGTAATATCTCTGTTATTCTTCTTGTTTAATAACAATTTAATACGTAGAGTAGATACACGCAAACTGAATAATAATTTTAGTAGTAGCGCGGTTAAATTAATATCATGCTGGCGTTTCATTTCAATAGGACACATTATTATCGGAATATTATAGGGAAGGGGCGAAACTTGTGCAGGCTCCCCTAATGCGCGTGACTAAAGCGCAGAAACTATATCTTTGAATTAGACGCTTAGTAGAATTCACAAAAAGGGTCCGCTACACTGAAAAAAGTATTTTACAAAACTAGTTGAGTTAATTCACAAATAACCAAACCTTGATAAAAGACAAACGAATTTCATTTACGTATTGATCAACTGCTTCTGTTGCATTTTACAAAAATATTTTTGTTATTTGAGTTGGTTATAAGCTACAAAATTTTATGTTATCTAATACAAAATTCGGTTTCGACACTTTGCAACTTAATATGTTTTGCTATACTCTACACACTTGTGACTTTACAGTTGACCCAACTAAAACTATTTTTTTAACGAATAGTTGCTGTTTTTCAAGTCTGCTATATTAGTTTGTTACCAGCTAAATAGTATTGTTGAGATTTGTTTTGCAAAGTTACTAAAAATAAACAAAAAATTTGGCTGAGATCAACTAATATTGATTATGTTGGTTTTAGAATATTTTTGGTTATCAATAATACAGCAATATAATAGGTGGTGAATAAAGTTATGCTGCGCATAACAAAACGTTTTGGTTACATCAAACACTAACGGTCACGGAAGTAACCTGTAGAAACCTGTTCTTCTCGTGTTGCGTTTTGGCAACCCTGGTAGGTAGTGGATGTGTGTCTGTTGTGCAATGTGCATCGTCTATGGCGAGCGGGAAAGCCGGCGTTTTCGATTTTATGCATGAATCATATATCATCAAGCAACGTCAAGAAGATTTCAAGAATGGAGCCGCCGCCGGTAGACGAGGCGGCAGAGAAAACGATCTCGGACTATCTGCGGTCTTGGGGATTGGAAGCTTACATTCCAAAATTTTTGGGTGAGTGTTTTTCACTTCTATTTCTTACATAATTAGGACAATAGTGTTTCATTCGTTAAATCACCATTTTAAACAGGGCATTTCCCGTTAGATGCACTTTTGCATTCTTCTTAGATGCGTAGTGCTACTTTGCCGAAAAGTAGAAAAGCAAGCACCATACTACTACACAACAGGGTGTCGCACAAGGCGACTGATGTCAAGGTTTACCGCCTAATAGGTACCTTCGTAGACCAGGAAACGGGTAGCAGCGTTTTCTTCCAAACATGGAGATTATGACAGTACTCTGCAGTATTGGAGAACGCATATATGTTCAGCAATGGACTGTTATGAGCTATTGTTTGACTATTTATGCAGGTCTTTTGCTTTCCTAGTGTATGATATTATTAACTGCATACCTACCACACCCAAACATGAACCACTGACCCCCGCACCTACATAACCTGTCCCAACCTCTTATTTTTATTAAGAAAAGTCCCGTGGTACTAGTAAACAAGCTGACTAACTGACTTAGTGCGGAGATAAAAAGACTAAACTTATCCATATTATTTCAGAAGAATCCATTGAAGTGGAGACTCTCCAAATGTTGTCAGAGGTTGACCTGAAAGACTTAGTGCCAATTATTGGACACCGGGCTAAGCTGACGACACAAATCAAACTTTTGACCAATATAATGTCAAATGCTTTTGAGAACACTGTAAGTAATAATAACAATAATTAATACTTAATTGGTCATTTAAATCTACACTAATATTATAAAGCGAAAAGATTTGTATTTCTGTGTGTGTGTGTATGTTTGTAATGAATAAACTCAAAAACTACTGCACCAATTTCAAAAATCCTTTTATAATTAGAAAGCTACATTTACCCTGAGTAACATAGGCTATAGTTTATCTCCATAGTACGGGAACGGGAACTACACGGGTGAAATCGCGTGACATTTGCTAGTTAACATTAAAATATTTAATAAAAACATGTATATATGTTATAATTCATGTATATATGTTAGTAATGATTACTTTTTAATTTCATTACTGTCTCTGTGGTCTAGTGATTTGGGGCTTTGGCACCTGATCCAGAGGTTGTGGAATTGAATCCCATGGAAAATACTTAGAGCATGAAAGTCATTTTGTGAAGTTGTTCCCAGTTTGATTAGGATAATGCAGGCCGAACCAAATCCAGGGTTGTTGTCTGTCCAGTAGGTTATCCTGTGCTTTGGAAGGCATGTTCAGCCACCAGTCCCTGTCACTGTCTCGGACAGTGGTCGTCATATAAAACCATGTTAGAATTTGATCAGGTTATTATTTTATATTTCAGTGTACTAATACTACTCCGGACTCAAACAACCAAATAATGCTGTATACAGTGGAAGATTTGCCAGTTGCACAGACATTACCTGATGATGAGGACCCCCCTGAAATCTCTGAAACAATTAATGAAATAGAAGAGGACAAGCCGGAATATGATTGCGTTAGTTATTTTGACATTCTTTTTAGGATTTTGCTAAGATTTTTTTAATTCTAGGTGTTGGGGAGGAAAGAGGAACAGTAGACTATTTTAAGACTGTATTTTATTCTTTCCAAAGCCTTAAATTGTTATGTTTTTTTTTTCTTTCTATTGTTAATTATATAAATGTTTCTAGGAATTATATGGAATCCTAAGTTCATCAAATGAAGGCAAAGGTCTTTTGCTGCAATACCAAGAAAAGGGTCTCTTGAATAATGCAGCCAGGCGAAGACTTTGCAATCTAATAATTACACACGAGCTGAAAAACGATGCAGAGAAAAAAATTCCTAGTTCAAGGTTTTATCAACTGGCATATGAAATAAGCAAAATCTTCAAACAGGAAAGTTCATCGGTATATTTTATACCATATGCAAGCTTCAGCCCGCTGCAAAAGACAAAAGGAAAAGGAAAATTACTAGACCAATATCGACAACGTCGCCGAGATTTTATCAAATCAGGAATTATACGGTATTAGGTTACGATATAGGTTCCTATCCGGGGCAGTTTGCCTATGGAAATCATTCCTACTAGTTCCGTTGAACTGTTCCACCATAGAACTAATGCAACTACTTTGATCCCACTAGTTCCATTGGACTACACAACGGAACTAGTGCAACTATTCATTTCTACTATTTCCATTGTAGTTATTTTTTGGTAAATGCTACCTACTAGAAAATAGAAATAGAAAGTTTGTGAGGATGTATGTATAGATGTTTACAGCATTTAGCAAAAATTAACTATAATGGAATGAAAAAAGTAGTTTGCATTAGTTTCATTTTTTAACTTCAATGAATCTAGTGGAAATGATCGAATTTAAATACTATTTTAGTGTATGTAGCTAGGTTTGGCTAGTATAGTGTGCTAGCTCTTTGTCTGAATTAATCATAAGTTCCTACTAAAATTAATTGATTTGATACTTAATAAATAAATATAATTGTAAAAAACAAAGTTGTTTTTCTTATTCTATCTCAAGTTTGTAACCGAAATGAATACCATAGTAGGTAAGATTTGGGGAAGGATATATCTTGCTAAAACTTCTTATAGGTAGGTAAATGAAAATCTACAAGAAAAAAAAACACTTCAGGCTGATGCTACAGGGTAGCCCGCGAAATTCAAATTTTCTTACGTTATTTGCAATTTGCTGGCCAGTGCTAGGTTGTATGTTAATTAAAATATTGTTCACGATTGTAAGACGTATGTAGTTACAGAACTAATAATCATCAAAAGCATGAAAATATTATTGTAACCAAACTATTTTGTTATTTGTAAAACAAAATCATCAGTACAATCCTCCAAGTTCTAAAAGGTCTAGCAAAAAAGATTTTTTCAAGGTCAAAGTCATTGCTAGACCTTTTAGAACTTGGAGGATTGTACTGATGATTTTGTTTTACAAATAACAAAATAGTTTGGTTACAATAATATTATAGTGATGTTACTTTTAACCGAAAAGTTCAGTTACAAATAACAAAATAGTTTGGTTACAATAATATTATAGTGGTGTTACTTTTAACCGAAAAGTTTAGTTACAGATAACAATTCCGTACTGTTGGAAGTAATACGAGGGGCAGCCATAAATAATTCAACAAGTTCATTTACAGATAACAAAATAGTTTGGTTACAATAATATTATAATGATGTAACTAATAACTGAACTATACCAAACCCATGACCAAGTTTTAACCAAACGGATTTGTACGCGCTAACAATAAAACGTGGCTATTTTTACATAACACTTTTGTTTTATTAATACACATATTAAGTTATTTATTCTAGAACACTTTGGTACAACGTGAATAATAAATTTGTTAAGAAGTTATCATTTTTGTCGAGCTACTAATAACAGATCTCTAATAACAAAACTGAATTTGTCTAATAAGAACTATAGTTATGTAGTCACTATTTTTATGTAACAGGTTACTCAATTGTTTGTTATTTGTTACTCAAAACTTTTTTCAGTGTAGGGTTGCCAAGTCACCAAAATAATATTTCTACATCAGGTAACGTGGGTTGTTCCTTTGTAGAAACTAAAAACCAATTCTGAACCGTGAGAATTCGTTAGGCAGCTTTGATTGTCGATTGGAAATTAAGTAACAAAATGTTTAATTATGTGAAATGTGTTCGAATAGCTAGCTGGTTAATTGAAATATTATTGTGAGCGAAAATATCAGAATACATGTGTTGAAATTGATTGAAAAATAATAATACCTAATTAATTTTCACGCTGTTAATTTCTGAATGCGATAAAACGAAAGAAAATTATTTGCAACAGAAATAATGAATAATACAAATGTTGTGTTTGATAAGCTAAATGTTTGTGTGTAAATGTTATAATCTGAGTAGATATGGCAGCCCTGACCACTGGGTGCTCGCTTAACAATAGCTATCGTAACAAATAGGTAAGTACGTACACACAGGGGTGCCACGGCGAGGGTGCCGTGGGGGGGCTTCATGGTAATCTGTTGATTTTACGCTCACCAGCTTGTCTCGAACCCCGCTTTTATTAATATCACCCTGTATTTTAACACGTACTGTAAAAGGAATCACAATCAATTTACTACACGGCAAGCTACGCGGGTAATAAGAAACACTCATTCGTTTCACACAATTAATATTCACACGTGGATTTTTAAATGAACAAGACAGGTGCTCATTCGTACACGATACAATTGTTCGTTAATTTACTTTTCAGGACAAAATCATTATGAAAAATAGTTTTCCCTAATTATTAATTACTAAAGTTCCTAGCACGCATCTTTGATAATTAAAAAACAAGTAGATACGAGCATGTATTACTTGGGTGTGTTAGAATGAAAAATATTTTATGGAGACGCGGTTTATGATTTGTTTGATAAACTCTCGGACAATAGGTCCGAACCCTAAGACCTCGAAATGTTAAGCCGTCGGCGGTGAGTGATATTTGTTTAGGTTCTGGCAAACTAGCAAACGAGGGGTGATTACGAAGGGTCGTATTGTTTGCAGCCGCGGCGGACAGATGGCGTCCTCCATCTACTAGTTCAATGCTTGAATGCGCTATTTAGCGTACAGTGCCGCGCTTCATTGTATAATGGATTATTACATTAGCACTTAAACACGCTCAGTCGAGCGAGAACCAGAAATGCACCCCGTCGACTTTGTTAAGCTTTTATGTGTTGCGTTGCATGCGACCGTAATAGAATAACAAGTCATGTTTTTACTTTTTACATTTGTGATTGTTTTTTTGTTAAACTCAATGACGCTCATTCGAATAAACACTTAATAAAAAGAGATTGATATTAAGTAACACAAATTGATAAAGCTTGGACACGGTTGAAACTTTTTTATATCGTCATTGTGAGTCTTCATGGTCTATAAAGGGACGTCTTGGAGAAACATTTTACATGATATTGTACAGAATGACATTATGTAGTCGATAAGGTCGGTTTTGTGTCGCTGACGCGCCGTTTCCCGCGCGTCGTGACCGAGTCGCACTCGCCGGCGTGACCGCGACTAACGCGCGTTTTCCGCTCTTTCTGACGACGACTAATTGCTTAGATTTTCTTTTGTTAGTCGCGGGGCCGGACCGTAGTGAGACCGTGCCGAATCACACCTACTTACGCTGTGAATTGATTGTTTCGTCTTTGTGTGGCAGTATCGACACGGAGACTTATTGTTCTGTGCTTCGAGCTATTATTCACGCCCGAACTGACTTTCACGCTGCCGATTATGACAACGGTTCTCTTACTTAGAATCAGTCAGTGACGCAGATCCTTCAGTATCGTAACTGCACTCAAAAGTCTAGATAAGTGTGTGTTGTAATATGGAGATAACGGGTAGTTGAAGAGCGAATTCATACGGTGGAGTGATTTCATGAAGTGTCGCGAATGTGGAGAGAGAGACAATAGTGAATAGGGTCGGCACTGCGCGGCGGGATGTCGATAAAATACTTTGTCGAGGTTTACGAGCGTCGACAGTCGACACCCCTGCGGCTGCTCGTCGATTTGACACCCTCGGCGAGCGACACACGGCCCCACGCTCCGTGCTCGCTTGTTATGATGTATCAATGGCGCGATGGCGCTCACTCGTTGCTTTGTAACAATAAGCCCTTTAGTTAGCATTTTCGATATTTTGTTTTTGTTCCTTGTTTTATTTTCGTTAAATGGAAAATCACCTTTATTGACCTATAATCGTTGTTTTCGTAGATGAGTACTTAACTCATTACGTAGTTTAAACAGTATTTTGGAATGTAATATTGTTTTAATGTACTGTACTGTTACGTCATCCAAGTAGGTACTTATCTACCTACTTGTGTAAAAAAACTAAATTGAAACGAATCAAATAGGTACGTGGAAAAAAACGAACTAGTTACGCATATCAAATGTCAATTAAAACATTGAACGTATAATCCAACAAACATGAAAGCATTACTCACCCACATTTGCACGCACACATCAAAACAATTTATCCATCAAATCAGTTAAAACTCGTTTTATCACCAAAGCATTCTAGCGAAAAATCCATTTCAATACTTTCGAAAGCTGTACGTGTCCGTATAATTTAATAATCTCCGGGTTATTGCGATTCCATCCATTCCATGCCGGTGGGGGAGGACGATGCGCTCAGACCGCTCGTACCGCTCGCACCACTCAAATTTATTCATGCGCAGCCCCAAGGATTGTTTGCCCTTGCATTAGGGTGGCCGCACACCCGCGCAATCTCTCTCATTGATAAATACACTGCACGTGCCCCATCAGCTTACTACTGTTTATTATAATAACCGGGGGACAGATACCAGGATACCAACGAAGCTCTTTAGCCCTCTTTGTTTACGACCGTTTCAAATAGTATAAGTATTATCAGGCCATTAAGTATACTATCTTTCGGATTACAAACTAGGTATTAACTATAGTACCAGGGATTATTCTACTAGCTAAGTACGTACTCATCAAAACTACCTCGTGGTAGACACTTAAAACGATATCTAAAACAAAATGTATGTAGGTTATACAGTATTATCGCCGTATAAACAATTTCAGTGCGACCACAGATATTATACATTTGACAGGCTTTAATTTGACTATCAATGAAGTTGTTATTTAGACATTTTATGACAAAATATAAGAGCTATTAAAGTGAGTCGACGTCCTGTTACTTGATTCATGAACGGCGTAACATAATAACACATAAACAATAGTAAGGAGCGAGGCAGCCCGAGGCGCGGCGCGGCGTGCCTTATCAAATTATAGCCGTTGAGTGTTCACATCAACATGCAGGTAGTCGTTAAGGGTCCCCGCATAATGGGAGCGCTATCTCGTACATCTACAGGCGGATACAGCGCTGTGAATTGTCTAAACGAACGCAACAACTCACAATGAACGCTTCACCGCGTTGCGTCGCGCGTCGCCCCCTCGCTTTAAAAGCGAAATTATCTCTCCATCTACAGGGTGCGTCGCGCGGCAGATGGCGCTTGCAATAAAACCACTAAACGCGATATCGCCGCTCGCTGCCCCTCCGTCCGCTTTATTATTTGATCGGGGAGCCAAATTAAAGGATTTGCCGTAACCCCTCGCTTGCGACCCTCGCCCGCCAACAATCACCTCTGTATTAAGTCTAATTGTGTTTTCAAATTCGACCCCTATAATGCCGAGGGACGTGATATTCAGAACCATGTGAAAAAATAGGGCGTACTCACCCTCAGCGCTTTATTAAATTTGCTCAAA